TATCCAATGCAGGATTTAAGACGGCATTAAAATCACCACCCACCACTAAATGACAATCAGTCTGCTCAAGCAATGCATTGGAAATATTAATGAAAAATGCACTGTCTGCCTCATTCGGGCAGTAAATGGAAGCCAGTGTTAACCTGTCATTATGTACTTTGCAACGTATAAAAACAAATCTACCTTCATCATCATTCCCGGTATGTTCAATAGTTATATGTAACTTCCTAACGACTAAGATAAGCACCCCCTTAGTTTTATTAAGAGCACAAGAGAAGGCTGCCAATTTATTATACTTGTTTTGAAACTGTGCACATCACATTGTTTTAAATGGGTCTCCTGTATCAGGGCACAGGAAATCGATTTACGGTGCAAATATTCAAATATACGGGTACGTTTTATAGGAGAATTTAGGCCATTCACATTCAATGATAAGATATTCAGAACCTGCATTGTATATTTCCAATGTCAAGTAGATTATGTCTAAGTGAAGAGAAACAAAAGCAATACCATACAGTAAGTGACATGCAAACGTTAGTACATATCCTAGATTCCAATCCATCTAGATGCATGATTATTTTTACAGAAAAGCAAAATAAATAAAAGTAAACGTATTGGTGTCTGTTGAATGGAATAGAAAACAACAAAAGGAAAGAACGACAAACAACTATGTACAAAAACCAAAACAGACCGCACATAACCGAGAATGTAGGCCTGCATGAACAACAGAAACAAATTCGGATACGTGACCAACCCACTTCAACGCAAGACATGTCCTCAAAAGGCCCACAAAGCCAAAACGTACTGATCGGACCTGCTCTCTATTAGCCTGAAGGAGAGAGAGAAGAGAAAAGGAAACCAATACTCAAAATAAATAAAAGTGTTGCATTGTTGTTTACCAGTCATCGGACAAGCGTACAGGACAAGACTTCAAAAAACAAATTCCAACAAGTGTCCATGTCCACCTTGCTGTTGTCCTCAGGGCATTTAAGATCACCACAAACCTCATCATTAGGTTCTCCTAGTTGAGTTGAAGGGATGGAGATGATAGCCGTTGTATTCCCGTTGCTTTTTAGAGCTGCAGAATACGTCTTCTTCTGTGACAATGAGCTGACAAAGTCCTCCGCTTTTTCAGGAGAGTCGAACATCATCTGCTCACCCTTGTGCCGTATTTTAATTGCCGCCGGGTAGATGAGGAAGGACTGGAGACCGAGTGCAGTCATCTTCTTCAAGACTGGATTAAAGCTCTTTCTCTTGGTAGTTGTGGCAGGGCTAAAGTCTGGAAAAAATAATAGCGTGACATTGTCCTGCCGCGTATATTTCACCGGATATGCCTGCCGAGCACCCTTCAGGATCGCCGATCTGTCATGCCATCTTAGTACACGGAAGATGAGAGTACGTGCCCGATCGGAGTTTTTTCTTCCGTCATAAACGCGATGGGCACGGTCAATCTCGATGTCGCAGCCTTTCAGTAAAAGGATCCACTTAGAAAGATTAGCTCTAAGGAAGCCAGCTGCATCTGGGCCTTCCGCCCCCTCAGGCAAACCCACCAGTCGTACGTTATTTCTCCTGCTCCTGTCTTCAATGTCTGTAATAATTTCGGTAAGTTGTTCCAACTGATTTCTTAAGGTTGTGACTGTCCTCCTATCCTCACGTGCAGCTACCTGAACGGAATCGACCCGGTCACGCGTCTGTTTTGCCGTGCTGGCTAACTTTCCAACCTCTGCTTTTAGCTCTTTAACAGAATCATTGGTTGTTTGTGTATCCAAATGTAGATCATGCAGTGCTGGGGTCAATACCGAGTCTATCGCTTCTCTTACTGCCGAAGCCACAACCGAATTCAGAGTGCTTTGTTGCTCTTTGAGCGCTAGCTTGATACCGTTAGCTATTGCAGCGTCGATCTCCTCTCTGGAGATGGCGGAATCTTTAAATTTCTTCTTTATTGGTGATTGCTCAACCTCTCTTTTACGACTGTCTTTGACTGCTGTAGTACTCATAATGGGCTAGATAAAGAGCGATTCAAAGTGTATTGACAGGATTATAGAATATTTGACCAAGTGAACAGAGCGAAGAACTATACGTGCATCGCTGTCAAAGGGTCACGTGATCTCCAAACATTGGATTTCTGAATTAAATATTGTCCTCTAAACATTCCCAGAGCATCCTGAATGTTCCCTGAAGGTCCTCCAAATAACATCCCCAAACCCTTTAAAGGACTCCGCATTGTGACTGTCTGGGAACGTTGTGGGAACATTACCAGGCAACGTCCTTGACACCAGTGGGGACATTCTCAGAACGTTCTGGGAACGTAAAATTTCTAGCTGGGCAGAGACTACGGATAGACGTGAGATTCTGCTGGTTACCTGCCCACGTAGGTATAAAAGGGAATGAGGGAGCAGATAAAATATTTAAAAAATCAACCACGACAAACGATGTCATAAACGATGAAGCTAAGGCGATAATCACCTTAATGCACCTTAAAAAGTCATGGTTGCAATCTGCCATAAAACGGAAAAGAAGAAGAAGCACAGGCAGGTGAAAAGTTTAGAGAAGATCTCTTGCTTGACTTGCAAAGACTTTCACACACATTCAGTTAAAAAAAATTCAAACTTGAAGACGCAACTGGTATGAACATGAATTTTATTTATTTATTTATTTTTTGATGTAAACTATAAGTTGTAAGAGATCAGTATTGTGTTTCAGCATATTTGATGCATTTTGCTAGTGTGCTTGCTACAGTACTGATTGATGCTAAGATTTGTATGATTTGGTGTGATTTGAGTGAAAGGTGTTCAAGTTTGTTAAAATGTATTATTTCTTGTTAAAGCATTTTGATTTAGTTGATTTATACTGTTGGTAATATGGTGATGGTGAATGAGACGTTAAATGTTAGTTTAAATAACATCTTTATTATATTAATGTGTGTTTCTTTTGTCCAATTTTATCTTTAAAGATCATCAACCTATTGCTGACTATTGCTTCTGCAAATACCTCTGCAAACAGAAGAAAATAAATAGTCAAGTCAATGAGTTGTCTTCTTGCGTCCTTCATTGTTTGAACGCCATCTCAAGTTTGGGCAGAGCTGAATAAAAAAGCCAGAAAACTTGACAGATACATTGTGAGAAAAATGTCCAAACATTTTAACTTAAACTAGCAACTAATGCACAAATGTAAGTGTTATGATTTTAGCACAATTTTGCGATTTGTGCGATTTTTTTCTTTTTTTTTTCTAACCGTGTATGTCATCACAGATTGATGAAGCGCATCTTTGTGTTGATAACAGTTTTTGATAGTTTTGTTTTGCTGGTAATTTGTCAATGGGTGATTGGAAGTAAGCTAATTTATTTAACCTAAAATAATTCACTGTAACGTTACTGTTAATCAGTGACGTCACTTACAAATATTGATAAAAAAAAATGATTTCAGGAGAGACAGAAAAAAACCCTCCACAACAAAGGGGGAATTATTGTTTAATCATTATAATAATTTCATATGCATTTTTTTCACAATATACATTACCTTAAGATTTATGTATGTATATATATATATTTTTTTTTTCTTTATCTTTTCTGCATTTCATCTCTGCTCTAGCTTGCTTCCTTGTAATAAACCCTATGTTCTATTGTAAATCCTATGCAACATTGTTGGCTCTGTGACACATTGCATGTTATGTTCTAGAAGATCATCATGCTGATGGCCTTCTGCACCCCCTGTCCAAGAAAATCTCCACGGCTATCGGCTATGAACTCGACTAGTAAGCAAAACCTCAAACATACAGTGCACTACTGTTCAAAGTTGGGGGTCTGTAGGATTTATGCTTTTGAATGAAGTCTCACACTTTAAAATCATTAACCCCAGTTTTTTTCAGTGAGATTGTCATGGTTTTATGCGCACTTTGCGAAACAAATAAGCCTGAAGTGGGCACAAAAGCGTTAGTACATCTGGCCCTCTGTGTCAATGCCTAGGCGAGAGCACACACTCACTTCAGAGGAGCTCACCACCTAAGTGGACACGTGCATCTCGGGATTTTCACCAAGAGGAAGGCAGCCACCATTCAGTGGGCCAACCTTGCTTGGAAACAGCCTTCCCTTTCTGCTGATTTCCTTAGCAGACAAGAGCTGGTCTGAGGTCCTAAAGCAGGGGTGTCCAAACTACGGCCCAGTTTTTATTGGCCCGCAGCAAATTCTGAAAATATAATTGAATATGACCCACACAAGAAACTTGAGCTCAACTCTGTTGCACTTCTCAGTTTCAACACTAGATGGAGCCAGGCAGCCAGCCACAGAAACGGTGCTTCTCGTTACCGCTAGAAAAACTTTTACCGCGAGTCACCAGAAATGGCAGCACCCAAGAAACGAAAAATAGCAAGTGAGCGTAGAAGATTTCAAACACGGTGGGAAAATGAATATTTTTTCAAAGAAATCAACGGAAAGTGTGTCTGTTTGATTTGCAATGAAGATGTTGCTGTGATGAAAGACTATAATGTCCGTCGGCACTATGAAACCAAACATCAGAGCTACACATCGTACACCGGTGCCGAACAAACACAGAAAGTCAAGCAAATGGCAGCTAGCCTGTAAGCTCAACAACATTTTTTTTTTTCGTGCTAACAAAATACAAGAAAAGGCCACAACAGGAAGCTATGAAGTCGCTAAACTTATTGCCCAGCAAGGCAAACCGTTCTCAGACGGTGGTTTCATAAAGCAGTGCCTCATCAAAGTCACAGAAATAATGTGCCTGAAAAAAGTGCAGGATTTCAACAACATGAGCTTATCCAGAAATACAGTGGTGCGGAGAATCGAGGACTTGTCTCTCAGCTGAAGTTTCACGTTAGCTGACAAAGCTGGTGCTTTTGATTTTTACTCGATAGCATGCGATGAGAGTACAGATGCTACAGACACTGCGCAGCTGTTAATTTTTTTGCGGGGAGTAGATGATCATTTTTGCTGTATGGAGGAGCTGCTTGATATGATGAGCCTAAAAGGCACAACGATGGGTAGAGATATTTTTAAAGCTGTGTCAGAGGCAGTTGGAAAGATGGGGCTTAAATGGGACAAGCTCTGTGGAGTAACAACGGATGGAGCTCCGGCCATGAAGGGCGATCGCAAAGAAATGGCAAGTGTGCGCCAAGGTAAAAGAGAGCGGATGTGAGGCTTTTAGGATGCACTGTATAATCCACCAAGAAGCACTGTGTGCCAAGACTGTCCAGCTGGGCGATGTGATGAACACTGTTGTAAAAACTGTCAACATAATTCGAGCTAGAGGACTGTACCACAGAGAATTTCAAGCTTTCCTTTCTGATGTGGATGCTGAATATGGGGATGTACTCTACCACTATGAGGGGCGCTGGCTGAGCCGCGGCTATGTGCTGCAGCGGTTTTATTTGCTGAGATCAGAAATCGATCGGTTTATGAAAGAGAAGGGCCGACCTCTTCATGAACTGAGTGACCCTCTGTGGCTGGCCGACCTGGAATTTTTAGTTGATCTTACTCATCATCTGAATACACTGAACAAGAACCTACAAGGCAAAGAACAGCTGGTGCCACACCTGTATGCGCACATGAAAGCCTTCCGTGTAAAGCTCCGCCTCTTTGAGACACAACTACGAAGCTTTAATACTGCACACTTCCCTGCACTGTCTGAAATCAAGTCTGCTTTTCCAAAGGCCAACCTTTCTGCTAAAAAGGAGAAATATGTGTCTGTGATTGCATCTCTCGTGACAGAATTCAACCAGCATTTGAAGATTTTTCTGTCATTGAAAAACAAATCAAGCTGTTCTCGACCCCCTTCCTGGTGGATGCAGAAGAAGTGGAAAAGAGTCTGCAGTTAGAACTGATTGAAATGCAATGCGATGATTCTCTGAAGAGTCAACATCAGCTTCTCTCCCTCCCTGACTTCTAACAGAGTTTGGATAGTGCCAAGTTTCCTCTGATGAGACGCCAGGCAAAAAGAATGATGAGCCGAACATATGTGAACAAACATTTTCTCTGTTAAATCAGAACAAAAGCAGATTGAGAACCAGAATGGCTGATAGCCATCTCTGTGAAGTCCACCAAAACTTTCTCCTGACATGTCAGCCATCCTTCAATCCAAAGGACAGCATCACTGCTCCCACTGAGTGCAATGTTCTTCACATTATAGATTTATCGGTTCAAATTAAACAGCAATAAAGCTAAAAGCAGCGCACATGTGACCTAGTACCATGGACAGCGGCGCCGCTCAGAGATCTTCCACGTGAACGCGTTTCCCCCCGGGGGCGAGCGCTGTGAGTGGGTTGTTGCTGTGAGTTGGTTGTTGCTGTGAGTGAGTGTCTTGCTGCACCTTCTTCCTCTTTGTCACTTTTGAATTGTGTGTGTTAGTTTTGAAGTATTTTTTATTTGTGAGAATTGTTCTTTAGGCGTATTAGCAGTCTCTTGAAATTGCCTCAGATTAGTCTGACAAGTCCTGCTAAATATGGTAAACCTTAATTACAGACAGTTTACACATGTTCATGTTTTTAATGAATATAATTGAAAGTAGAACAGGGCTAGTTGTCACAACGGCTGTATCCGAGTAAATAGGAGGTTTTGAGTCAAAAGTCCTATCAACATCTGTATTTTCTCCAGCAAGGTTTTGTTTCAACAAAGTATGTTGGTTTTCACTTAACCTTAAAATAAAATATTTTTTTGTGAAACTAAAAGTTCAATATACATTTTTTGAAGGTAGTTTTTAAACTGAAAGGTTTTCAGGGCAAGAGTATTTTTTCTTTATAAATGTCAACCTGGGGCAAATTGTCACATGTTTTTTACTATACATTGATATGTACACTGAGTGCAATGTTCTTCACATTATAGGTGAGTTACAATGTTACGACCACCTGTGCCACCTGCAGGCATGTCGTACTAGTGCACGGGCAGTGCAGTTCCAGTTATTAACCTGACTCTTTGCAAACACACACAACTGACATTTTGTATTTAATTCATACCACACTTTTTACTTTAATAATAAACAGTTCTTTATTCATTTTAAATTTTAAAACCTGAACTGTTTGTTCGTGTTCCTTTTTATGTTGAGACCTTGAGTAACAAGCCAGGTCGTAAAAACGCAGTATTCATGTGTCAATATAGTGTGTGGCCGGCCCTTTGTTTATTTTTCTGTATTTGGCCCTCACTAAAAAAAGCTTGGACACCCCTATTCTAAAGCTTGCGTTCTATGCACGTATAACCGCAATGAAGCGGACAGACAGAGAAAGCCAGGGCTGGGTCTGCCTCCTCCAGGGCAGCGCTTGCAGGCTCACCACCTGGTCCCACCTTTAGGTAGAGGTAGGAACCTTGGGCACATATCCAGGCTGGGGTCTCAACTCGTAAGAGTTAGCCGGCCCGAATTCCAGACAACTCGTTGACCAAAAGCGAGCAAGTCCCTACCCGCTAGTAGAGACCACTCAAGCAGGTGAACTGTTTCTTTAAAAACAGAATTTTTAACTCACTGCCTGCAGTGGCGGTCTTTGCAGTGCAGTAGCACCAGAGATAAGGCCCAAGAGGATAAAGAGGGGTGCAAGGCAGATTCACTTGCTCCCTCAGGAACCTGACGATCAGGACGTGCTTCCCATGCTACTGCATCATGATGTGCGTCAAAGAAAAAATAAAGGCAACATCATTTTGAGGGTGGAGGACACAGCCCTACTCCAACCCATCTTGCAGGAAAGAGAGCACTGAAATGACCAAACGCGTTCAGGATCTCCTCGTGGAGAGAAGACTCACTCAACGAATAGGTTCCACTTCTATTTGGCCTAAGCAACACTTCCTCTTAGGGGGTGCTCTCGCAGAAGTGATGGTGACTACCACATATTTTCCTGCGGTAGCCACATGAACCTGCGCATTTTAGGACCGGCCTGGAATCTCTCCAGGAGTCTGAACGCGGGTGCCATCATGCCCCGTCCCAGAGAATGTATTCAGGGGAAAGTCAGGAAGGGCTGTCGAGGGGAGAACTAGGTCTGGTTGGGCTAAAAAGGGGCAACGACCTGCTCCACTCCTGACCTAGCACAGTAGGTGCAAGCGACATGCGCGAACAAGACAGGAGCACTGATCAACACTAGGTGTGAAGAAATCACTGAGCTTCAGGAGCATCTCTGCTCAACACCTGAGTGTGATGAAAATCACTGAACTTTGAGTGGGCGCCAAGCGACAATGAATCGAATAGCCGCTTTTTTAGAAGGCTCACTAGGGAACTCATTTCTGCGGGGCCCCGCGGCCAGCTGAGAGCCAGTGTCTGTCCAAGGGTTGTCCGCTCAGACAGAAATAACACAAATGTCAGAGGAACGACTCTGGAGAGGCAACAAATGCAACTGTGCAACCCCAAAGGGGTCCCTGCCCAGCTGGATCGCCTGGGGATGGAGTCTCCACTGTCCCTGGCCATAGGCTGTCATGAGGCTCGGCGGCTGCACGATTGAGCAGGCTGGAAGAAATAGTGGAATGAAGCGACCTCAGAAGCTTCTGACTCCAAGGAGGAGGTGAAGGGCAAGTTGTGACATGCAAGGGTAGCTTAGCGCAACGGTTGCAATGCTGTCTTTTCAGACCAGTACCAGCTCGCTGAGCAGCAGTGGCTCAAAGCGAGGTGAACTGCAACAACTCGAGGCAATGAATGCCAAATGCAGTTGGAGGTCGCCCAGGCCTCTGTTAAAGCATGCCCTTTGTACATGGCCCCTCAGTCGGTGTTAGTGGACCTCGTTCTAGGAGCGGTTGGCCCGGAGAAACAAAAGGTCTGATCATGGGCTGAGGGTTTGGCGGCAGGCCGGGGTGATCTGTTGTCACACAGGGCATGCCGCTCTACCATGGTCCTCTCGGGACTCAACCTTAAGCCAAGGCTGAAGTGGTCTTCATATGGAGGATGCCATGTGGCTGCATCTGCCATATGCCCCAGGAGCCTCTGAAATTCTTTCAGTAGGACCCTTTCTCACTTCTGTATAGCACCGACCGGACATACTCTCTTCTTGAAGAGGCATGTTGGACCGAGTCCATCTCCATACCGGAAAAGAGATACTCAGCCCGTGGGCTAGATTACTCTCTCCCAGTTGACCTGAAGACCCAACTGGCTATGGAGCACTCGAAGGGTAGGACTTTGTACTGATACTTCGAACCCTCAAATGCAACATGCAGGATAGCTTGTGGTGCGTAAAGCTAGAGATCTGAAGTACATGTCATTCAGGTCTAACGCTGCAGACCAAGCTTGGGGGCAGGGCATTCTGAAAAATGCCTCTCTGTCATGTCACCCATCCCACGCGGCACCCGAGGGCGGGGCGTGCTAATGGGGACTCGCGCTTCGCGGACGAAGGCGAGAATATTCATTCTTACATCCAACAACAAAACACCTGAGTTGGTTACAAGACTTTCTTGTCTATACAGCTGCTCCCGCGTCGAAACAATGGCGGCCTGTGTACAGCTCACTCAGGGTGGGTCTATGCTAAAACTGCAGAGTCCATCAACAGTTGTGGGCGGGGCTTGTGCAAAGTGATGTCAGTGCTTATGATTTATGGGGATTTAAAAAAAAAGCACTGGGTGGATCTTTATCATTATAGGGTAGCTGTGTACACACACTGCCAACACACATTTATGCTCAAACATGTAAAAGTGAATTTTGCATAATAGGTGCCCTTTAAAGTATATTGTTTCTGTAATGAGTACTCTTTTTAAAAGTATGCCAAAGTTACTACTTTTTTCACAAGGGTAGAGAGGACTGATAACCTTTTAATGTAAAGTGTGTCATTTTTTGATGTTCTCATTAGCTGTAAGCAAACTGTATCCCCGAGTGGTCTGGAAGCTCTAGGCCTGTTTATTGTCATTCTTGCAGCTGGTTATGGAATTTCCAAGGCTTAAAAACAAGTGTGTGTACTAGCCTCCCTGTTTAGAACCGGGCAAAGTGTGTTAATGAGGAGTGTTAGTGTTATGAATGAGGTCCACTGGAGGCAAGCTGGTTGAGAACCCAAATGCAACTTTACTTCAAAACATAATCAGGCATGACAAGGCATGAAACAGAAACAACGACAGGAAACCTGGAAACTCAAAACAAAGACAAGAACCAGGGGCCCGTTCTTCGTACGTCGCTAACTCACTTAGCTGGATTTGATTGTTGGCGATTTGGCATTATCTTGGATTGTTTGGTTCTTCGACGCTCATCCTGGACTTGCTGTCTTGGCAACAGGTGTGCAAGCTTGAACCTGCTCGCGAGCAGGCTTATTTCATGTTAACAGGATTAGATCGCAGCTTTATAAGCGGAGGTGATACGTGAAGTCTTTTAGCGCAGCGCAATAGTGTACTTTTTGAGAGATATCATTTTTCTCATGACTCGTGAGGATGTCGTTTACATCATTAATTTGTTGGAAACACAAATGTTCGACTCGGAGTCGGGCTTTAATAACAGTGCAGGCAAGTTGCTATTGCAATTCTCATACAGATTAGTAATATTATATCAAATTTTAAAAAGGCAGTTGACAGACTAAAATCTCTTTGGTGGTGTGTGACTATGTTCCATATCACAAATATGGCCAGGATCCGTGCATGACTCAAGAACTTTCAGAGATTTATGCACATTATTTGAACGTGGTAAGGAAAAATATAAATATCAAGCTCACTGTATTACATACACTTATGCTTATCCTAACAGAACTGAATTTTTCCATTATACAGGTGATTACAGCAGGATCCTGCTTGGAGACAGGTGTTTTATGACCCCGTTCCCTGACCCAAACCCCAAACCAGTTACAAATGCCGCTCTAGCCAGGACAAGGGCACACAATGAAGTGAACTTTAGCCAACTAAAGTGTCTGAAAAGTCTGAGGGTTGCACCTGACAGGGCCTGTGACATTGCATGGGCCATATTACACAACATTGGACCATCAGAAAAAATATAAAACATTTCATTAATGTTTAATAAAAGAGAAGACAAATATGCTTAGTTCTTTGAGTTTTATTTTAATTGTTATTTGTAAAGAAAAGCCAGTGATGGTCATCTTTTGCCTGCAATAAGAGATATTATGCAAAGTCAGCAATGGTACTCTGTGTGAAATAATATATTGGCACTTACTCTGAAGTTCCTATGAAGCAACTCATCTCTAGTGCCAGTTTTTTTTTTTCTTTAAGTTGTCAAGTATTTTCAAAATACTATTTTCTATGGGTAGGGGTGAACCTGTCAACACATGGCTTATGCATCAAAAATGAAAAGGAAAAGTACAACACTGCCCACCTCTGCATCACTGCTTTGTGCAGACTCTTCTGTAGATGTGGACTCCTGCAACTCATATTGCATTCAGAAATAATAGGTACTCAAGTGTAAATTAAGTAAAGTTATTTATGCACTTAAAGATACCTGAGAGGGTTTCTTCACTGTCCTGTGCATTGGGGGGAAAAATGGGCATTACAAAGTGCTGTACTTTCTTCCCTTTTGATGTAACGTTAGAACAAGTCTTACTGCACATGCTTCAGCTACCACTTGCTTGGGAACAGGTAAAAGTGTTGGTGTATTGTTTAAAACTGCACAAAAGAGGAAAACACAATTTCATTACAATGAAGTACACTGGGGGGAAATGTGATCAATAACTCATGGCAACATATTTTTTACATTAACTATGTAGTTTCACAGTCACACATGTAGACTTTCACAAGTCAAAGCAATTCACTACTACTCAAGGTTTAACAGTTGATATGACTGGACAGCCATTTGGATTATAGGCCTACATAATTTAATGCAGAAACAAATTATTTTACAGTGTACTAGAATCATTTAAAGTTTATTTACCAGCAGTGAAGGTGTTGCTGCTCCTGGCCTCTGGCTGTGTGTCTGAGGAAGAGCTGAACCCAGGGATGCCCTCCACAATGGGTCGGTTCACATTCAACCCAAGGGCCAGCTCTTCTGCCGGGGTATAATGTGGGGGTGCAGGACCACCACCTGTTGGTTTTTCATTTCTTTTTTTTCTCAGCCTTTTTCTTAGTTGCTTTTATAAACAGGCAAACATTTATTAACAGTGCCTTTTTAAAAGAGATTAGTATAAGTAATACAAATGACCATTATGTAGAATATTTTAGTACTTCACTTTTACTTGTTCCCATGTTCTAGTAGTGGGTGGTGACTCTGACATTACAATGAACAAAGTTATTAATTATTTAGAAATTATTAAAATATAAAAATATATACTGTAATAAGTGATAAAAACATCTAACATGGTCACTACAAATGTAATTTGTCTGCTACTTTTTGCCAGCCCTCTCTCCTGGCTTTTGCACACGTTGAGGTCTTCCCTGCTGTTTTAATTAAGTTTTCAAATTCAGCATATCCTTCAAGCAATAACTCTTGCTCTGCTGCGGTGAAAAACTGAGCACGCTCTTTGGCCACAGTGAGCAGCCAATAGCAGCGTTGCTGATCAATGTTTCTACTATCGATACATATCCCCTTTTAAATCAGCGCATGAACGCACAATTATCTCAGATAACTCAATCCAGCTACACCAATCATAACTGGCAGGAGTGTTCAAAGAATCTAATTAGCCGGATCATGATGAGTATGATGATATTATCTTGGATGTCTCGTTTGATCTCGGATGTTTTAAGCAACATACGAAGAACGGGCCCCTGGACAAGAAACATTCAATACTGCAAAGACAAAGACACAGGGCAAACATGAGGGCTTACATACATGACTAATTACAAGACAGGTAACACCTGTGAACAATGATCAGACGATTAACAACTGACAAGACACATGGCAGGATCACATGACAATCAGGGAATCACATGACAGACAAGAACAAGGAACAAGACCCAACGTGACAGTTAGCTTCCCTATTTTTCTGTTTCTTGTGCTGCGTTCCAGCTTAAAATTGTCATGCCCTTCACTTGCTAACTTCCCTCCATCTCGTAACGTTCACTCGGATGTACGTCATTGCATGCTTACATTGCATGAGTGCCCACTGCTGGCGGAGACTGCAATGGGCTGAATTGGAACGTGCTAAGCCCTTGATCACTAGGAATCAGTTATGGAGTTTATTTATCTAAAAAAAAATTCCCTTTAAGAATTTGTTTAATGCAGCATCCAAATGTATATAGATGTGTGGTTGTTTTAAATTAAAGAAACTATATTAATATATCATAGAGTTGTTTGTGGTGGTGGTGATTAGATTAGATCTGCGGTGATGTCACAATCGTGTTGCATTGTGGTATATGGAGCTGCCTGAAGTGTAGGCCTACATATGAAGTAGACTTGCTCCCTCAGTCAAAAAATCTCGAGGGAGCGAGGGTCTGTCCATATAAACTTCACTCGTCCACTTCACGAAGTGGAACGCACTTCAAAATGGCGGCAGGGATTCCCATGAGGGGAAGTGCTGAGGGAAGTTCGCAAGTGTGTGTGCATGTAAAAGTGGACTGGAACGCAGCATAGGTGTCCTGTATTTTTTAGTGTGTTTGTGTGTTGTGTTAGTGTGTAATGTTTTAAGTGTACTGAAAGTGTGCTTGAATTTTGGATGTTTAATTTCGACTGATTTTCTGTTCCTTCAATTCAGGAGGGGACATGACATATTCTAGGTCACTACATAGACCTCTTAAAAAACAAATAACTCTTCAATTCTGTGGGAAATGCTATTACCAGATGACACAGGTCAGGTGAAAATGAAATGAATTTATTTGAAGTATAAAGGAAGCGGAGATGTTCAAGTCTTGCAAAGCATTTGTCTTTCTCCTCTTCACTTGCTTTTAAAACAGAACTGGTCTCACAGAGCTTTTCCCCCTAAGGGAAGATTTTCTTTACTAGTACAGTTGTACTATATGATTACAAGACATAAATAGCAGGAAAATTTAGCATTGCTATTGAAAACTGCAAAAACAATTATATTGTCCTATATATATATATATATATGTTAGCAAAATATATAATATATCTAATATCTCACCTAATCAAGGCTCTATGATCAGGAACTGCCACCTGCAGAAGACAAAACAAGTCTTTGAATAAGTCGCGAGTCATTCAATATTAGGAGTGAAAACAGTAAAGCATGTTAACCTACCAAGTGTGGCTTGTTAATGGTGAATGTCTCTTGATCATGTATTATCACTCCACCCAGTCCTTTGGGATTTTCCACACTCTGGACAGGGGTCTAAATATGCAGTTTTATTTGTTAATGTCATGAGGGCATGTCATGAATAAAGAAAGGCTTTGAAAAGACTTAAAACATTTACCCCCTGTTTCACAGAATCTTAAGTGTAGTCCCAGACTAAAATGCATGTTTGAGCTGTTTTAACTGATTTGTAATACACACAAGTAATGTTTTTTATTTATTTATAAAAGCTACTTAAATGCGCTAATTGAACTAAGAACTAAGAATAATCCTGGTTTAATCTAAACCCTGCTGTGAAACCAGGCCTAAATACAATGCAATGTGACAAAAATTATGATTTAATTGTGAGTTAATCATTAGGGAGAACACAATGCCATAACTGTTAGATGCTGTAAGCTGTATAATAATTTTTTTTATTTCAGCCATTTTGAAAATATGATACTATAAACCATTTCACAAACGGACACTATACTGTAAAAGGACAAATACCTTTATTTGATGCACTGTGGATTGAAGGGGGTGGCAGCATTTTGAACCCTGAAAACAAATGCAAATAAAGCAGAGATGATGTAGTCCAGAGTGTGAATTTTAAGACTTGAAAACCCCAGTTCCTCAAGTAATTAGTATTGTAATGTTAAATTTATCATATGCAATTGCGATATTGTGGATCGGGCCTTGTGGGTTTCCAACCTTCGGTTTCCAAAACTTAAACCATTACGCCACAAGTTTTACATAAAGTATGTTTGATACTGCAGGTACTATGAAGTAAGAATCAAAATATAATCTCAATAGTGTAATATTAAAAAGGCCTCACTAGGGCTCGATTTAAGTGGTCCAAGCAGTTTAATTATCTTGATGAACAAGTGTCAATGAAACGATAAAAAAGCCACCAAAAAATGCAACTAAATAATAACGGCAGAAATTGTTTAGCCAGATTTTTAGAATCTAAATACACAACCACACGCAACATGCAGCATTTTACAAAGCCACAAGGCTAACAGTTTAGCAACAGCCTGATTTTTTGCAGTCACCTAAACGTAGCAATGCTGTCTATGTCACATACAATAAAAGCTTCCGTATTTACTCAATATTATCGATATCTGCTTTATTAGTAATAATGCAATAATAAAATAGGTTTGATGGAAATATAAACTATCTCACGTACCATAACTACGTAACGGCGCTGTTCAACAAAGGACAAAAAGAAAGTGCGCCTCCAAAGGTCCTCCAAAGACTAGCAATAAAAAGTCTATACGAATAAAAATATATGACTATAGCAAATTTAAAAATGTAATAATCATTACACCACCTTTTTAAATTACACATATATTGTTTAACTATATAATAAATGTATAAGACATTTGTTCCTGGATATAATCACTAGGAGCCACAAACTTTTATTGAAACAAATTATATTGTGTAATAGAGCAACAACACATTTATTACATGCCTATTACAGGCATTATAAATAAACCATGAAAGCTGATCAAGCAAAAAGTTTAATTGAAATAAACTTATCTGTGACCCGTCTTCTGTGTCTATCACTTCCAGTCAGTCCAACCTCAGTTTGCTGCTGTTTTCATGTCTTTTCTTCTTGAACTCAGTGAGGGAAGAGGCTTCCAATCCTTTGGTTGGTCTTCAAGGGTCTTCTGGTTCTTCCATTATGTTTGGTCTCAAGATCACCGTGACAAATGTGAACATTGTAAAAAAATAAATGATTGATTGGTCCATGAACAGCATCTGTGGTGGTTATCTAGCTGTAAATGAAACTGTTACAAGCTTGCAAAAACACAGGATGCTGATGATTTTATCACTAATGAGCAAAACCAAAACCAACAGCACACCACTGTGAATGACCAAGCAAACAACATCTGAACAGTTCCATCTCTGATTAGTTCCTATTAAATAATATTTAAAGGGGTAAAATGCCATTTTTGTACAAGTTAATATGAATGTTTAAGGTCTAAATGAAAACTTTGTAGTATACTTTTATTAAAAATTATCATTAGTATTTTAAGAAAACACAAATTTTACCTGGTCAAAAACAACTCTGTTTTCAGCACGCCATTTCAGTGCATATGCCTTTAAATGATAATGAGCATCGCTCACTCCGTCCCTCTGTTCTGCTGGCGTTTTGACCAACGCACGTGGAGTGTTGCCTTGACAACAGTTGAGGGTATATTTTGGAGAGAGAATGGCAGCGGAGTCTCTGAGGACACATCTGTGCAATCGTATCAGTTTGAACCGGAGTCGGACCCGCAACAAGATGACGGCCGGAAAGAAGTTCGACAATTAAGGCTCGAACAGGAGATTTCTGAATGGTTGCTTAACGTAATGTCACTTTGATCTATTTTTGTATGCACTGGCAGGGTAGAGTAGTGAGATATGAACGCTATGTGTTTACTGATGTATACGTTAGTTCATTGACAGATTGACGTTACAACTAATGGTCATGAAAAACTTTTTTTCGTGATTTGCAAAGATTAATATAAAGGTTAATAAAACTTTACACTTACTTCTTCTGGAGGTGCAGAGGGAACATAAATAGTTGCTACCGATTCTTTCTGGAGCAGCTTCTTAGCAAAACCAGCTTATACTGACCCTCGTTTATAAGCAGTCTTATGAGAAATGAATCGCGCAAACATGAAAGCATTGACGTTGCTCGTGGGGAATATTCCCTTCGAAAACAAAACTCAGCCACTGCGTCTTTAGTGGTTCGGATTTAGGAACATCAAAATGACTGCTGTGTTCGTTATAACACCCAAGAACCGAACACCACAATCGCTTAGACGCCATTCTGCTCCAGCGTATCAACAGTGACGGACTATGATGACAGCTCGCTCAGTGCGGGTCTGTGTTGAAACGCTGCTGTCAATCAACAATCGTGGGAGGGGTGTCCGTTTTATTGACGTCACAAAAACGAACGGCTCAATTTGAGACAGGGGAAATCATATAAGGAGATTAAAACAAAAACACTGGATGGATTTTTATCATTATATGATGGTTGTGTACAGGAACTGTCAACACACATTTCAGTGCAATCAACTTGTAAAAGTGCATGTACCATTATATGACCCCTTTAATATCCTATTGATCGCCTTATAACAACAACTGCATGATTAACTGATGGTTTATTACAATAACTAGAACTAGAACTACAATAATAATTTAAACAGCTAAGCCAGGGTTCCCCAATCCTGTTCCTGGAGATCTACCTGCAGGGTTTAGATCCAACCCTGATCCAACACACCTCCTGATCCAAGTGCTCCTGAAGAACTCAATTAGCTACTTCAGTTGTGTTTGATCTGGGTTGGAGCTGAGGATTCTGAGTAGATATGATTTCTCATTCCTGTTTTGTCTGGGAACGGAGTCGTTATGTCGTGACGACGAAATGGATTTTCGCTTAGAAAGCCTATCAACTATCAGCAAAGAAATGCCATGGGTCTACAGATTTTACATAGCATGACTCTGCCCCACCTCGTGGGTATATAAGGAAGTATGCTGGCAACATGTAGTTATGTTACTTGCTGAAGAGCCGAGACTGAACTCGGGCTGTTCCAGCGGTACAGAGAAAGTGGCAGAGAGACGTAAAGTCTCCGTTCCCTACTCAGGGAACGAGGGTTACATCCGTAACCGAGACGTTCCCTTTCGTAGTCACTACGAGTTACATCGTGATGACAAAATGGGGTTCCCAGTCTAATCACACAATTTATTGTGTGCACAATTCAGGGTTCTTGGAATATAATGGCTTAAAGCGACCTTAGATGCTTCTGTCTCCATAAGAGGAGGTGGCGAGCAAGTTGCGATCGTACTAGTACGTGCTGATTCTTGAGCAATGCATGGAAGCGGTGCAGAGTGAGATGTACTGCCAGCAACTAGAGGCAATCGACATGCCAAAGGCACTGGGGTCCTGTCCAGGAGCCCGCGGCAACATGTCCATTGCACATGGCACCCCAGCCTGTAGTGGAGGCATCTGTTGAGACAACAACATGCCTGGAAACTCGTTCTAAGGGCACTCCGGCCCGTAGAAAGCTGAGGTTCGTCCACGAGGTGAAGGTCTGACAGCAGGTCGGAGTTACTGGTACTCGGAGCGTGCCTTGTTGCCATGCCCACCTCGGGACTCGATCGTGAAGCCAGAGCTGAAGCGGTCTCATATGAAGCAATCTGAGAGGCGTTGCTGCGGCTGCGGATGCCATATGCCCCAGGAGCATCCAAAGCATACATCTCATCTCCACTACAAATAGGAAAAAGAGGCTACAATTTGCAAGAGCTCACCAAAATTGGACAGTTGAAGACTGGAAAAATGTTGCCTGGTCTGATGAGTCTCAATTTCTGTTGAGACATTCAGATGGTAGAGTCAGAATTTGGCGTAAACAGAATGAGACTGTGCACGCTGGTGGTGGTGTAATGGTGTGGGGGATGTTTTCTTGGCACACTTTAGGCCCCTTAGTGCCAATTGGGCATCGTTTAAATGCCACGGCCTACCTGAGCATTGTTTCTGACCATGTCCATCCCTTTATGGCCACCATGTACCCATCCTCTGATGGCTACTTCCAGCAGGATAATGCACCATGTCACAAAGCTCGAATCTTTTCAAATTGGTTTCTTGAACATGACAATGAGTTCACTGTACTAAAATGGCCCCCACAGTCACCAGATCTCAACCCAATAGAGCATCTTTGGGATGTGGTGGAACGGGAGCTTCGTGCCCTGGATGTCCATCCCACACATCTCCATCAACTGCAAGATGCTATCCTATCAATATGGGCCAACATTTCTAAAGAATGCTTTCAGCAACTTGTTGAATCAATGCCACGTAGAATTAAGGCAGTTCTGAAGGCGAAAGGGGGTCAAACACAGTAATAGGATGGTGTTCCTAATAATCCTTTAGGTGAGTGTATATATATATATATACCCACGAAGTGGGGCGGAGTCACGCTATGCAAAATCCGTAGACCCATGGCATTTCTTTGCCATTGGCTCATTTTGTAATACTCGAAGTTGATAGGCTTTCTAAGCGAAACCCCATTTCGTCGTCACGACGTAACTTGTAGTGATTACGAAAGGGAACATTTATTCAAAGGTGTCATCATGCTTTTGTAACTTTAATAAGGCCAGGGAATCTGGCCAGGACACTGGGGTTTCACCCTTAATCTTCACGAGAAGTACCATGTGATGACCACAGAGTCCGGACCTTGGTTGAACGTCTCATCCGAAGGATGATGCTTCTTACAGTAGTGTCCCTGCAGTCACTTTACTGGGGCGTTAGGACCCACACAGACCACAGGGTGAGCACCCCCTGCTGGCCTCACTAACACCTCTCAGCAGCAACCTGGTTTTTCCATCCAGGTACTAACCAGGCTCAACCCTGCTTAGCTTCAGTGGGCAACCAGTTTTGGGCTATGTAGTGATATGGCTAATAAATACAAAGGAGAAAATGAGCCACATGAGGAATTCTGCCCTGATTCTGCCCCAATACTCAGAGCTGCTGAGTCAAGCAATAATGGATTTGAGTATGAACATGTTTACAAACCATTTTTTGCCTTGTTTTAATGTAAAATGTTAAATTCTAATGCAATAAATTCAGCTAATGCTTGCAACCACATACGTGCTTTCAAGACATAACTGTATGTCACAATACCAGCATACGGTGTTGCTACACACTCAAAATTAGGGACTTTCCCATTACCAACGAAATACATATTTTACTGTACAGTTTTTGAGCGAAGACTATTAAATGAGCCAAGACTTCAAATAAGATTTAACAATTTTTTCTTTTTTTTCTTTTTGTCAGATATTCTTTTTTGTCCTTTTTCTTTTTAGTCTTTTTGGGCAGTCAAATTAATTTAATTTAATCTATCGATATAAATAATGATACTGGTAATTCTCAGATATGTTCTTACA